TACGACGGCGAGGGATGCCAAGCTCAAAGGTCACGTGGACATCGGCGAATGAAGACACGGGATAAAAGAACAACCAATGGAACCGCCCGACCGAATAGCTAATCGTGGTCAAAGATCATCCCCGGGTTCCAGCACGTATATTAACACACACGTAACACTACTCAACACAGCCACTGACAACCAACCGCTACACATCACTACGCGCTCTAACAACGCACTGATGACGTCACCTCGATTGTTGATGAAACGTTAGCAATCCAATTGCCCAGCTCAGCTCAGCGAACAAGACAGCGACCATCCACGCTACCTGAGCTACCAACTCAATTGCCCATGGATCAATTGCCGTGGATCGATCCATGACTAAACATTCGCTCCTGCTATTTGCCTGATTACTTCCCTTCCGATTTTTAACCGCGTATGACTGTGTTCTTATTGCTTTTTCGATGTTTCTGCCCAAACTGCACACCACGCTTTGAGTGCGTTGCCTCTGTCCTTTCTACTGGTAACCAGTTTTAGCTGTTTCGGTTGTGCTTAATCATGTAACGGTGAACTATCGTAGCCCACATTCATCTAGGAACTTTGGAATGGCGAATGGTCAGTTAGGACAAGATCAAGATCACTTGACAAACATATCGATCGTGAGCCTGCAGGCACCTGATTCTCACCCGCAGGCGGCTTGCTGTTCAAGACATCTTCTATTTCTTAGTACACATGAACGCTCCGTATCTTCGCCCGTTCTTCTAGGTCGCCATGGTTCCACCAGAACCACCACTCTACCCGGCTGAGGAGTTATACGGTATCGTTGGTGCGAATCTTCGCCGCACTTACGACATTCGTGAAGTGATTGCTCGTCTGGTGGACGGAAGCCGCTTCTCGGAGTTCAAGTCTCTGTACGGAACCACTCTGGTTTGTGGTACGTGTGTGTATGTATGGATTAGCTCCTGCTACTTGGGTGTCATGAGCTCACGTCATTTCTTTCAGGTACAGGTTTTTACTGTTTATTTTAAGTCAAGAGAATTGTACTGCCCTCAATCCGGTTTGCGTGGCTTGTGGAGAATTTGATAGGTGGAATTCCCCATGGATGCCGCTCGCGGTTAGGCGCTGCTACGACTGAGAAACCTATTCCGCACACGATTGGCCAAAGGTTCGGGCCGCTTGCAGGTCCGCCATGAAGCCAAGTTCTGACTGGTCGGAAGTCAAAACCCAACAGCCAATAATGATCCAGTATTGCCCGAATGCCGGTTGCCAATGGCGCATCCAGAAGGCGTCAGAATTTCCAGATTGCCGCCGCTTACGCTATAATTACGACGCGCTGTACAGGTGTTCTTGACTGTGGTTTTGGGCGCCAGTATAGGTTGTTCACCTTTGGTGGTTGTTTGGGCGTGAACGCTAGTTTGAAAGGTTCAGACCGAGAATGCCGTTATTACAGAGTTGGACTCGGGACTTCCGACTTTGTGCTACCTCCTCGGTCCTACAAACACAGCTAAACACCCCAGGTTCAACGTTTTTTCACAGACACGTCGTTAGCTTGTGACTATATCACTTTTATGTTTCTGCTGCTTCGAATGTAGATAAATATGCTGTTTCCCACAATCGGATTGCGAAATGGCCCAAGTGGTTAGAGCGCGGGAATTTACTGACCGGAGGGTCCGTGGTTCGAACCCGACCTCTGCCTCTCGACCTCCACTGTCTAGGCTTGGGCAACCTGGCAGGATCCCAGCCCTTGTGCTTCCTTCGGGTGGCGTGGCAGTTAGGCACCGAAAGGGTTCTACAGCTGGACGGATTGTGGTAGAATAACACAGCCGAATGCGATTTATATTTTCTGACCTAGCAGCATTCGGTCTACACGAAGAGTACATGAGTTAAAGTAGTATGCGAGTTCCACTGGCCTTGAGCTTACATCACATGATGTTTTGGATGGTTGTACGATTACCAACGCTGCCAAACGTTCGCCCCAAATGCGGTCGACCTCGAAATTCATGTCAATTTGCGTAACTTGTTTTTTCGGCGCGTCAGTAGAAAGAAAGAACCGGGCGTATTTTGTGTCTGACGGTTCTACCTGCTTTGCTTACTAATCTGACTGCACAAAACCTATGGGTGTCCATCCGAAGATGTCCCAGTGCGACGCCTCAGGAGAATCCCCACACAAGTACTCCACCCCGGCACAAATTGAAGTCCTATTGCGGCGTAAATGGCATGCAGATGCCTCGGGGCATTCCAGCTGAAGTCATGTGCTCTGATCATTCGCTTCTAACGTCTGGAACTTATACACAATGCACTGTGACGGTGAAGAGTTTTTGCTCAGGTGACCGTGTTTTTAACACCCAGAGATAATCGTTAGCCACTAAGGCTTTTACCAAGTCAGATAGTCCTTCGGTCATTTCACTGTGGCTCCAAAAAGTCCTTTCTAGTGAATGTGGCACTAAGGGGGCAAGGTGGCTCAAGTGGTTAGAGCGCGAATTTACTGACCGGAGGGGCCATGGGTTCGAACCCGACCTCT